AAAAAAAATAATATATATATATATATAATGCCTAGCATATTGAGGTCATCGATACTGTATTTAGAACTATAAAGTGCTAGCAATATTTGTCCACAATCCCGAAATTTCGCTAGTCTCGAAAAATGGAAAAGTGTCGAAATGGACAGAGCAGCATTCACCGCTATCATTCAGAATTTAAAAGCACTGCAGACCATATGGCACAGACATCATAAAGCTGCACACCGTAGAGAACAACGAATAAAGGATGAAAATGATAAGGGACTATACATAACAAATGTCAAATATCTTATGGAAGGAATACGAAATGGCCATAATCTTTAGCAGATTTTAAAAATAATCACATTTGATCAAGGAAAAATGAAAAAATGCAACTGTTCATAACTGAATGCAAAATTATGACAATGAGGACAGAAATAATAAATTCCTAAAAACTGTGAAAACAATTCTGTCACAATAATGTCACTGAGAACGAAGACAAATGCATTATTATTATAACAAAAACGATGCGTTATTTTGCATAATAAGGATGTGACATACCCAATAGGCATTAAAAAATATTAGCGATTGGAACAACTTGAGAAAACCTATCATTTAAATGACCTTTCTTAAATCATAGGTGTTCATAAAAAATGCACACTTTACCTACTACAGCAGAAAACAAATATATATTCTTCTGTTGGTAACAAGATCACTGATCATATTTTGACCTAGATGAAAAAAAGAGTTGAGAGCTGCATGCACAAACGCAAATGATCACTTTAAACTATGAATTTCATAGAAAAATACGCACATTTATGAACTACTGTCTAAAAAAAGTCAAAGGAAGTACAGACAAATTCATAATAACGGAACTTTTTAGATGTACACGTTCATCCACAGGCATAAATGAATCACTTTAAACTATGGATTTTATATACATACAAAAAAGAAAAATAAAATAAGCAAAAGAATACATACGCAAAAAGAAATATGCAAAAGGATACTTTTTCTTCAATATTCTAAAGTTAAATCAACAAATATCGGATTAATTAATCATTATATATCCACCGGCTTCATGGAAAAATTTGAAAAACTGAGAACAAATATTAAATAAAATGTGATTTAAATATATATGAATAAGAAAGAAACAATCTATTTTAAGAAAGGAAATACTGGTTAGAAGCATGAGGTGCAGTCAACTAAGCAGTAATTCAGGAGACCACTTCAACCTCACAAACAAACCAGGATCAATTATTCGTTGAGTTTACCACCGACTTCCACCCACCAAAAAAATCGAAAAATGCATCCAACAAACAATGCAAAATACAAATATTACAACAGCAAAATATCGCATAAGAAGTTTAAAAACAGACAATTTTACGACGTTAAAAGCAGATTCAGTTGTTCTGAAATGCATAAAAATGAGTATGTATAGAATAAAAGAGAAAGAAATACCAAACATAAAAGCAAGCGACAGTTTCTTCGTTTTGCGAATCACACAACTATCAACAGCAAATTCTGTTCGAAATGCTTGCATAAATGACCGTGTCTGGCACGTAATCGTTAATGAGCACTGTTAGATGTATTACGTTCCTGGTTGACAGAATTTTGGAAATCATATTTAAAGTTTCATTTCAAACCAGTATCTGCTGTTCTGTTAACTTTAACCAATAATTAAAAAGACTATGTAACGAATATGCGGAAAAAAAATCCCTACGTAAAATGCAGCTCAAACATGACTGTAAAATCAATTACAGCTCAAACATGACTGTAAAATTAATTATACCAAAAACTAGAGAAAAGAAGCAGTTATGATAAATTGGTAAGCTAAGCAGAAAAATAAAAAAAAAAGGAAAAAAAGAAAAAAACGCATTTCAAAGCAAGATATCATGTGAATGCGCAGAGATTCGAAAGAAATATTTAGATAATAAGAAAAAGGATTATCCAGGTAACAGCAGTTATATCTAAAATAACTTCGACTCTTTAGTGCAATTGGAAAAACGTAACTCTTGGAGAATAAAAATCCTTCAAAATTTGAACCTAATCATGATTAGTGTCAATTTATCAGAAAGAATGCAAAGAATTTTCAAATAAGCTTAAAAGACTGATAACAGTGCGCACTGTGCTCCTATACAACTTTTTAGAAACTAAAATTGAGAAAATAGTGTTGAAGATGAGTAAGAGATTTAAGACTTTTACCTAAGAGCAAACAAAGAGACTGCTAGTTTAAAATATCAGACTCATGTTCCATAAATTAACAGGTCTTATATAACATCTAGCTTGATGTGCTGTAAAACAGTGAAGTAAATTATAAATTAAAAATAAATAAATGAAAGCACACTGTACCCTCATCTGAAAATAAAAAAATTTTAAACTGCTCTCCGATATCTGGCTAACTTAAAATTCTTGCACAGCGAAAGGCCGTCTCGGGAAGACACGCAGCTCCGAAAGCTTATCTATTCGTTGTGATAATTCTTCTAGACGTTTCAGTGTTGGCTTTACATACACATAAACAAATTCAGCTACTGTATCATTGTAGAAAACAGTTAGCATTTCAGCCCTAAAAAAAAAATTTGTTTTCAGTTAAATACTCTAATGAATTTATTATATCATTAGAAAACAAGAATTTGTAAACGTTAAATTAGGTTACCTGATATTCTGCTCGCAAAGCTCCATTTCACGAAGAAACGACTTAACCTTGTATAATACTTGGTCAAGATACCAAGCTTGTGTGTATAAGTGCTTTTCGTTGAATCTTGCCATCCACCCACGAACCTCAAAAACAAATATTTAATACTTGATTTTTTATTAAGCCTGGTTTTGAAAACTGAAATAAACCTGATAATCATTGAAAACTTGTTCTTCAACTGAACTGATTGTAGAGTGCAATGTCTGGACAGCGTGGAAAATGTGTACACCTAACAAAAAAAAATATTGTAAATGAGTTTGATTCATAACATACAAATAAGGCATAGAAATTCAGATCTCAAAAACTTATATATGCATTCTCTGTGGTGCGTTGATCTGCGTAATTTCCTATCCGTAATTTCGAAACTGAGATAACTTTTTGGAATTTCCAAATCTATGCTTGCGAATATAATTCAGAAAATCCCTTCAAACAGCATTTAAAAGAACCAAGAAAAAATCGATACCAGGAAAACTACATTGCGGTATGAAAGGAGATGAATTTTTGTCGAAATATAATACCGAAGAACACTTCAGCAATTGTGAGACTGACCGCATCACTAAATCTCGAACTTAATTAACTTTTCAACAGCAAAATAAAAATGACTTCAATTTGCGAGTATATACAGCACAAAACATGTTGACCATAAGAGAGGATCAGGTTTAATCGAAGTGAAAACCGATAGAGGAAGCTGCTGAATATCTGAATATGATTTAAGTGAGCCGAATATCTTCCAAAAAACAAACCTAAAGTATGGGCTTTTATTTAAAATCCAAGAAATGGATGGAAGCGCTAAAATTTCCCAAGAATAAATTCTTACCCTCAGAACCATACTGGCCACTTTTTAAAACAGCCATGTTTACAGCAGCAGAAGGAAGACCAACTGGTATAACTTCGCATATGATGGCAAAGTGGTCAAACCTGAAAATGATTAAATCGTTAAAAATACAAAATTCATTTCGAATAACTTGGAAGAAACAAATAAAAAATATTTACAGTTGCATAGAAATGCAACGTAAAACACTATTATGATTGATGCATCAGTGGATCCTCTATTCATGAAATATGCAACATAATGGCCTCGAAAGTACTTGTTTTCTCTTATAAAGTCATCTACTCGAGCACTTTATAAAGAACCGTACAGTTATCAGTATATTGCAAAACTATAGAAGGCTCCGCATAAGCCGTTTTGCATAAAAAATGTAAATAATATAGTTTTTCTTCTTATAACAATAACTAACAACAAGAGAGAATTTCACAATGCTTCAATGCATAACTGTCCATATATTATATTGCGTTATAATAAATGTCCCCATTAAAGTAACATGTAACTGAAAATGCTTAACCTTTGCCAACCGGTTACAATGATACCTCGAAACTGCTTGAACTTGGAATGATGCTCATTCATCTGCTTTAGCCAACTTATATGATTATTCAAGTAATGCTGAACATTTGAAGCATACTGATCTGGACCATCGGCACCTAAAATGAGCACAAATAACCACATACAAAAACATCCTTATGACAGAGAATTACACGTTATAAAACATAAATTTGCAGCATTCTATACTTTTGAAAACTCAACTTTGTAAGCAGAGGCTCCCCAAACGTATGAAAACATTGAAGATAATCGCTGCCAAAAATCAGGCAACAATTGGTCATCCAAATTTTCCATGTAATTCCATACTACTGGCTCGACCAAATCACTCAAACTAAAAATATTGAAAATGATAAAATGATACCACAACTTGTAAGCATTTATAAACATTTATTAAAATCATATAATATTTATTTGCTAAAAATTAAATTATGTTCTTGAAAACTGTTCAAGATATGTCGTGATCTAGGATAAAAACTTTGTTTATATATAAGTGGACGGTAGAGGGTAAAGACATTTTGAAATCATAGAGACTGGTAAAATACTAGCATTACTGAAAATGTGGAACTCCTGTGAAGTCACTTGAAGCAACTAATAATAAAGCAAATGAAATACCCATGCTTCAAGACATTTTGTGTTTGTAAATTTACTAGCATATCGTGCCAAATCAATACATTCACTTTTTTCTCTGGAACTTGAGCCTAAAATTCATTAGATTATAAATTGAAAAATAACAAAGGAAAGCTGCTTTCCGAAGGAATCAATTTGTTGGATACTTCCTCTTCTCCAATGCATTGCAAGTTAAATTCGGGAATATCAATAACTGTACAAAGAGAATTTATGAAATTATCTAACGGAAAAAGAAATCAGCCCCAGGAAAACACGAACCTTAACAAACTTCGCTACTTTTGCTATGTGTTTAAGCAGCAAGAACTCGGTATCAACATTATTGCTTACCATGTAACTTCTGTCCTTCTCACATCGACCGATCTAAGATAAAGTAGCAGTAATAGATTATATTGAATACTTTTATAATGCCTTTTACCATTCGCTACCAACAAAACTGACCGTCAAACGCAAGTGTTTATAGAAATATTGTGCCGAAGTTTAACACTACATCGTTCACATGGATTCAGCTAGGGAAAAGATGTGAGCTATCTAAATTGTAGCAAAACGAACCTGATAAACCTCATCTGCTCCAATGTGGAAATATTTCATGGCAAATTCTTTATGCAAATCCAATATTTGTCTTAGCGCTTCCTGAACTAAATCAACAGCTCCTTCATCCGTCAAGCAAATCACCTGCATGTAGTTATGGAAATGCCACCAAAATACTATCCGTAATAAACAAGGATATAAATATGTCTCAGAATTACATATAAGCAAAAGTCCCCTACACAAAATCCAGAAATCCCAACAAACTTAAACTGTAAGCGATACTTGTGGATATCGTTCCTCCTCGCGATATTTAGAGAAGTTAGGGTATTTCAAAATGTATTCCAGATGACCCACTGTTTGCACAAGAGGTATAATGTCCAAATCATGTGTCTGAATTGCACGGAGAAAACGACGCAACTCATCCAGAGTGTATGCATTGCCAGCCTTTACCCCGCTTAGTTTACCTTTAAAATTCATAAATTAATGGTAATGAAGTCTTTTGAATACAGTAATTGTACTCAAGAAAATGGCGGATGGCCTACTATGATGTTGATGCAATCATTACTAAGATGATGATGATAAAAGTGATAAAATGAACCAAACTCAACAAAATCTATTGGTACAATAAAAAAACTTTAATATGAAAACTTTTCACAGCATGACGTTCAAAAAAGTTGAGAAGATAGAAAAAGAGAAGAACATATACACCTGTAAATGGAAACATGTCTTCATATTCGATCATTATTCCTGTTGCTCCAATTTGTTTGATGAATGGAACAAGCTTCAACAAATAATCCATTTTTGGTGCTGCACCTTTCAAATCCAGATGAAAAATGCGATTTGCTGTAAGAAGTACAGTTTACTTTTCTCCACTAAGCATAACAAAACCCGTACAAGCAAAATTAATCTACAGTCCACAGTGACAGGAATCTACAAACCAAATACAATCAAATACATAACTTTTTTCTTTTTTTCATTAATTTACCAAGTTCAAGCATCCCACTTATTTCAAAAGGGTGTACAAAATTAAACAAAGGAAAAAGAATTAAGTAAGAATTTCTTCGGGACTTACGTGCAATGAAGTAGTTCTGCGAAGATAATGGCTCATGTAATACTTTCTGGAAGCCACGATCTCGACTGACGATAAGCCCTTCCATGTTTTCCCGACTATCTCTCTGAATTACAAAAAAAGAGAAAAAATTGCAGTTACAATGACAGGGAAAATAGGTCCTATAAAATTCGACGGAGTAGAAGGCAACGATAACACCAAACAACGAAAAAGGCTAAAATTGAATACCGGGCTTTTTGCGATACTATCAACTTTCCTGCCCTTTTTCCCCACCCACCTCACGAAAACGCGCAAAAGTTAGTAAAAGTAAAACAGACTGGAGTCAGGTGCTCAACTGAAGCGAATAACCTTTACTCCATTAGCTTGCATTCCTGGCTGGGCTCTACGTGAAACATTGCGCTGCATCCGCGACCCATTCTAAAAACCAATTTCTTTGCAACATCCGAAATGAAATTATGCTCGCAATATATCAAGTTTGCTCTTTTATACTGATGCGTACCCTTATTGAAGTATAATTTGACATCCTCAGGAACCTGTTATCTTCCATGTTATTCTCTTAAAATAATTCCAATCAAAACTTAGATGACTAATTTATCTAATCATTTAATACGACAATCTATGAAGTCGTCCAATGAAAAAACTGTCAACTAAATAATTCAGGAACCATTCGAGAAAAAAAGCTTGCCTGATAGTCCATAATGAGGACTGCGGTTGTGTAAATCACCGTTAACAACGATATAGACAGAGCAAATCGCCGAATCGACCTTCGTAACATTTTCTAAAATAATATTCCAGAAGCCACCAGAAGGAGCACTAATCACATGTTGCTACATGAATTCTAAGAGTAACGCTTCGGAGAACCTACCGCAGAAGAACAATATCCAACCCGTCCTGCCAATCCGATCCCACCAGCTTTCATTTTCGACAGCAGATAAGCACGGAACTTTTCACGGCCCGATACTTAGCGAGCAACCGGATGTGAACTGGACGAGTTTCATTCCGGACAAAGGAGCGTGTAATCGTTTACACTTTGGACCATAACGGATGGAAAGTTGGGACTTGTTTTGTTTGACAACGTTCCGTTAATTCGTTGTTGAGAGTTCTTAACCTCCAAGACCGTTTTCCTGCTTTCAAGTAACGTGAAAGTTGGAAAACCTACACTTCCATGCAAGTCAGTTATAACGGCATCCTCTACCCATTGTGTTGAATCCAAAAAGGGAATCTTTCCAGAAATGTAGCAGTTCACCACAATGTGTTGAAGTATAAACCAGTGCATAGTCCCATTTCTCATCAAGCAATAGTACTTTTATGAAACAAACTTTCATTTCTTTGTAACTGTTCTGATAAAACTCTTAGCTTTCAGTTACTTTGTGCCGAATTTCATTCAATTTTGAAAATCATTCTGCCGACAGAAGTTGATACATCTTTAACACTAGTCCAGTTTGACGTGAATTTAATTAGCTTGTGAGACTTTATTATGAACCCACTTCATAGTTCTTTTGTAATACATTATAAATTTCCAGCAGGCAACTTGCTGGATTATCGTCGTGTGGATGCTAAATGTTATAGGTTAAAAAATGCAGGAGTAATGGAAGATGGAACTGCTGCAAACCTAATCCTTTATAAATATCATGTAGATTGTTGTATAAGCAAGCTATTTTTCATGTGACAATACTGCCCGAAGCATTTTTATATGTATTCAAGACAGTAATTCTATACGAGAATGAAATTTGCTGCGAAATGCAAGGTCTTTTAATGAGCATCTCTTAATAGAATCCAAAATTTTACTTCTCCCTCTTACTGCATTATTTTTTAAGCAATCAAAATTCCAGACTTTGCTGTAGGATCTAGAAAAGCTCCAGGGTTAAATTAGATTTAATCGGAACCCGCTACAGATGTTAAAGTGATCACAAAGGTCACAATGATAACGACAACAGATCACCTTGGCATTGTAGTTCAAAACTTACAGAATTCCTCACTGTTAACAAATGTCTTGAAGCCTTAGAAATAGGAATACATCAGTATTCCACTATTTGGCCGTTGCATTAACCAATAAATCAAACAAAGTATGGTTCCGGTATACTAGTTCTGCCGGAGTGTAGGCCCAGAGAGGGAATTTGTCGAGCTCGAATAAATATCTGAAGCTTTTTCTTCAATTATTTTTACGAAATTATTATGAATTACATAATATATGGAAAGTTCGTTCATATTTTACTCCTCCCATGCAAGAATGTGTAAAAGAAAAAAAACAAAGTCGATTGGTCCTGCCGCGCAAAATCCGACTCTGGATCTCAGTCGTAAAGACTTCGTAATGCTCAAGCAAGTTGACATACTTCATTGAGTTTTACAAAGATCGAGATAGCAGTGAGAGACGAGGGTAGACTACCAATGTGCTCTTTTTTAGTCTAATCTAAAAAACTGACTAACGTTGCCCAAGTCATCATAAACAGGATTGCCAATAGACCACATTCAGCAGTGACCACTGCTCCAGCCAATAACTGAAAATACATCATGTTTTGGACACAATAATCAAAACTGTTATCTAAAAGAAAATTTAATCCGATCGACTTACCAAATCTTTAACACGTAACAGGCCGGATGCAAAAACGATTGCATTTGGTGGGGTTGCCACCTGAAATAATTTAAAGCTTCAAATAAAGCTAAAAAAACTCATCTAAGGGTATTTTAGCGATCATTTCCGTGTTTAGTATTCAAAAATCATTTACAAATTTTAAAATTTACGAAGTGGAACGAACAGGCAAAGTGAAAGCCATTGAAGAGGCGAGAGTGGTAGGAATCATAAAGTAAAGTGGGTTAATTTCTAGCGATTTCGCCAGTTCTGCTACAATAGGGATGAAGATGGATGCTGTTACTGTATTACTGCAAATGTTTGTCAGGAATACGGTGATAAATATACACAATGCCATAATGACATTAACTGGGAACATTTGCAGTAACTGCATCATTTCTCCAACACGATAACTCAAGTTCGATTCCTGAAAACAAGTTGTGTACCAGTCAGCCATCATCTTTCGTGCGTATTAATACACTTTTTTTATACTCTCCGAATGATACACCTCCGTTCATTATCCGCTAATTGATAATCGCCTTATCGTCCAGATATCTCAGAAAATTTGCGATATTTTTCTCGAGTTTCTCCGTTTCTTCCTTCGAAGAGATTTGCAGCCACTCTTTTCATTACTACCGAAGAGTTAGTTACAACTTTTTCGCAAAGCTTTGGAAATTGGATTTTGCTTATCGCGAAACTGACGATCTTGAAGGCATTGAAGCTAAATTTTTGTTTTTGTACCTATTAGATATGAAGATGAAACGAGTTGAGCTTCATAATTTTTCTAGAAAGGTTGGTGAACTTTTGCTCTCGTTTCATCATTTCTACTAGTGGGTACATACATACACGAGTCTTTTTTAATGCCATATAAAAAGAGGTTTCTGAAAAAGAGGTCATATAAGAGGTTTCTGATTAAATATCAAAGTACCTGAAAAAAAGTTCACAAATCAATGCTTTCTACGAAAGTTTATCAGTTTTGCTGACTTCTTGTTTGTCATTGTTATATGAAATCAGTAAGGTAGGAAAAATGGACATAAAATCACTGTGATTTCCTTATCAGAAAACAAGAAGTTCAAATTCAGTTTAACTAGAATGTGCATTGATGATGCCAAAATTTGGACACTTAAAGTATAATTTATTTTACATTTTTCATCAGATGAAGCTTTTTTGAATATTAAAAATTTTGTAAAAGAACGCCTAAGGATATGCAGTACGATTTCCATCCACAAATATTCATTTTATGATATAGGGATATGAGGATTTTTCAGCAGTTGCTTCCAACCAACAGCCTATACTAATGATAAATTTGAAATCCACTAACTGAACAAAGGAATTTGACCCCTGCATTCAGTACCTTAACGCCTGCGGCCATTGCAAAACCGCCTCCAAGTAATAGCACAACACTCCATGGAAAGTTTGCTTGCATTGTTTTCCAATCCAGTAATGTTCCGACATTCTCCGATTTTCCTAAATTGTTATTTTGTTTCGAATTTGTAGTACACTTCATTTTTTCTTTGACTAAACATGGCGAAAACAGTTTTAAAATTTGTTACCAAAGAAATCTGGCTTCTGATTCGGAACGGCAAATAATATAATTGCAACCAAAATCGCACTCGTTGCATCTGTTACATACCTGAATTTTTTGAAATTATAAGGAAATGTTTCAAAAAGTTTTGAAGGAATCAAACGTAAATATTTCAAGTATGATATCCTGAAAAAGTCAGGTTAATCTGAAGCTTTTCAACTTCATTTTGCTGTTCAATCTTTGGAATATGTTAATCACATGCCCTTTCTTGAAAACAGTTCCGAAACCAGGAACAACATGTGGATCTCTCATTATCCAAAGTGTTAATAATATCAAGAAACAAATTGATACACCGATTTCTGCAAATGATAAACTTGGTAGTTCATCGTACTTTTGTCTCAGCTTGTCTTTAATCGTCCCGTGACCTGCATTTATTATATCTTTTAAATTTTTATTTCATTCTAATCCTTCAATTACTTGCTAACAAAAAATCATAGCGATAATGATTAACGAGCAGATTCAATATCACAAAATAGTAGGATAATTGGGTTTTTCGAATGTTTGAGTATGCAGGAGAAAATTGCGTTATTTTTAGTAGTTAAAAAAGGACCTTTTGAAGCTTTTCGGAAGAAAATGAGTACTAATGTTAGCCACGTCATGAGCAAGCATGCGATAACGAGTGGTACCGCAAAAACCATCCAGGATATGAAATTAATACCTGTATCTGCGAGAGGGAAAATTCTAAAACACTGTTTGATAAGTAATGGAAGAACAAATATGTTTGGTATCATTTTTCTTAACTGAGGAATTCCACTTCAATATAAAACGTTATAATATGAATGCTGGAATTTTCTTGAAAAAGTTGTTAGATTTTTCAAACTAAAAGACCGGAAAAAAAAATTTTTGCAAACAAACTCTTTAATTTGGCCCATTAAGACAAGATTCGACGGTGTTCCTGTAATTGTTCCTGTGCCACCAATATTTGCACCGAAAGCAACTGATATCAGCAATCCTTTGGCCATATGATATTCGTCTTTACTTAAAATTTCCGTCATATCTCTGGAAAGAAATTATTACTATATTAAAGTTTTCAATTGCTTAATTATCGCATTGCCAAAAAATCTTGTATAGCATCCTTAGTTTGTAGAATAGATGTGACTTGCACTGTTCTTTGAACTTCTAATAGATTATATATATACCTATATCTTCATGTGTGTATCATGCGTACAACTGGTTCTGAATGTATTTGTTACGAAAATGCAAAATAAACCAAAATGCACCTCGTACTAAAAGTACTGAGGGATTTCCTTCGTCCGTCGCTGTTTTCATTATACCTGTCTTCGACCACTGCTTCACTCACCAGACTATCCTGGAGAGTTTAAAGTCATAAGTTTTAAAGTCTCAAATTATGACATTAAAAGCAGATTACCATTATATCTTTAGCTGCTTCTTGATGAAGGAATACTTTAAGTAAATCAGAAATTGATTTAAAATTTGCTGCTAGAATTAGCCAAGTATATTATTGGCTCATAGTATAGGCAAAAAATTATATGGTGTGAATATGAAATCTTACACTGAACTCATTTCTACGATTGCTTTTGACGAGTTCGATTATGACAGAATTGGCAATGGGTACCATGAGAGCAGCAGTTGCTGTGTTTGATATCCACATACTGGAATTTGCTTTTTTTGGAAACCACAAAATCTACTATTTAATTTCCAAACAGCTTTCCTTTAACATTTCAAGTATTAGGAAACAAAAATCACCTCAAAAACGCAGTTGCTGACATAAAACCAAGCATAATCCTGAAAATAAAAGTTGACTATTGATTTCATAAAATGTTGAAGTTTTTGTAAAGGTAAGTCATCCGTTGAACTTCTATCACTATGCTAACTCCGTGAATAATTCTGATAAAAAATCAAAGAATATCAAATAGAAGTGTTTGCTTCTTTTTTCTCACACTAAAAAAAATTTACGAAATCTAAACATGAATGGAAAGAACATCGAGTATAAGATAAAACAGTAACCAGCATGGTTGTGGTGGAACAACAGTTAATACAAATAAAGCGACACGATTGTGCAATTTGCATTTCTGAACAGCTACGGCTACCATTAATCCACCAATAAATAAGAAACTTATATCCTGTAAATTACGTGAATTTCTGCTTCTTCAACTTCATGGTGAAAATTTTTTAAACCATTTTGCAAAGTCAATGAAACTTTGTGAAATTTCATCATGCTTCGTTTGTTCATGGAAACAAATGATAATGAAGCTCACGGGTAGATACATTTGAGCAACGTCATCCGATGCCATTAAACCTAGCAGTGGATAAAGTACCATCGGTAGTAAGGCAGTTATTGCTAGCGGTAGTACTTCCATAACCCAGTAAACAGCCATTATGCCTACGCAATACCCACATTTTGCTTCGTTCTATAATTATTGATTACACCAATAATATTAACTGCACGATATCAAAAATTAAAGTTAACTATTACTTACCTGTTTCTTACGTAACAAGTTCTAATTTTGGTGATAAAATGGAAACTGATACGTTAGAATTTTCTTTGAGATTTTTTTATCATTTTGTTTCGGATTCATTTTGTAGAACATCTCAAATATTGCAATTTTTTTAATTTTTACAATTTTGGAAAAACCATACACCTAGAAATGGAAAATGATATGGTTTAACGTCTGCTATAGAATCTGAAAGGGAGATTTTTGAGTTCTCAGTAATGGATGGATACAGCATTTACCAGCAGTTCCATCACAAAATATTCGGAAATTTTATCACTTCTTGTTTTACTTATCTACGGAGTCCTCAAATTTCACATTAACGATATACGAACTTCATTAAAAGTTCATACCTGGCTTTGTGGAAACAAAAATAAAATGGGTAACAAAATTATGGGCGTTAATGCACATGCCAGATAAGTACGCATTCGCCATATTACGGACAATGCCGACGTCCTGAAATTTCCTCTTCATAACTGGATAAAAATTTAGAGGCACATTTAGTGAATTCCTTTCTAATTCCTTTTTATTTTTTCGTAGTTTCAAATTTTGGTCGATAAAATTGAGATGAACTGAAAAATAAATAAAATGCAAAAGTTAAGCAACTTACGATCCTGGTCGATGATACCTTATATCTGACTTTAGCAGTGACATCCTTATCGTCAGTCTTCAATATCTTGTAAAGATACATCATAATTATTAAAATTTGAATGATTAAAAAATTTACTATTAGTGAATTTCAACAATGTTATATGATCTTAGGGAAACTGATTTTTGGAATTCCCAAGAGAAGAGTGCTGTAGATCCACTACTTTTTTATTACTTCTGATAATTCGATTTTCATTAAAAATGGAAGGATAGTGACAAGTAAAAGGACAGAAGGAAATTCAGGCCAAAAATATTAACCATTGAAACTAATAACACTGTAGAGCTATCGATCCAGCGCACTTTCCGATTTTGACTTAACAATGAATAAATTTGACAGAACCTTGAAGCGCCTTCCCTAGGTAGACCTATGTGACATGACGCTAATTTAATTTACCCATTGGCTATAGTGCCGTAAGCTGCATCACTTAATTTTAGCCGGTGAACAGTTAACTGTAACTTCGGTGTTTTCGAACACTGCAAGATTAATGATTGAGTAACATCTCCTCAACCTCAGAAATGTTTAGCTATCATTAATCCTGCGACACGATGAAATACCTTTGTGAATGTCAAAGCATAAGAAGTGACTATTTTCAGCATACATTACTGCAGCGTGCCAACTTCTTTGAAAGGAGAAATTTCACCATGAAAAAAAAAAAACCACTGGATTTTTCGTCTTGACAACTATCTTTTTTTTGACTGGACTAACATTTGTGTTTTTTTTTTTTCAAATAAATTTTTATAGGGAGTATTGTAAGTAATTGATGAGCTAGTTATCATCAAGTTTGAACCGGTTGTTTTCGAAAAACTAGAAAAAAAAAGACAACTGGAACAAATGGAGCAGTCTTAAAATCCACTTCTTTTCTGTCACCTTAGACTGATTGGTGCATTACTACAAGCGAGAAAACGCAAAAGCTCCAAAAATTAGCATTTCTAGCGTTTACTTATTCAGAGGGTCGTTAACACCAATTCGATCTATAATCGAATCTTATTGAACATCATGATACCACATAACTTCAAAAGTTACAAAAAATCTAAATTTGAATTCAACTATATACATGTATTTGCTAAAATTAATTGATTTTCTTATTAAACAGTTTTTAACTGTAAAGAAAAATTACATTCATGAATTCACCCCTGAACAAATCTTAAAAGAAAACAAATCCGGAAGTGCTTAAGAGCTTATGAAGCTTTTGCGTTTACAAATGCATTGGGATCGGCATCTTCACAATGATCTGTTTTTAAATGGAATAGTAGTCATTAATTTTCATATTTACTTCAAGATTTCAATCAGTTAATTTTTTTAGGTACGTATTGAAGAAGGTTTGTCGAATAAGTAAAACTGCTGAAAAGATAACTTTCCCATCAGCTTAATATGGAATAAAAGAAAGTTCAGGTACGGACTGAAACGTGAAC